GGCTAAATCGTGCCGTTTCCGTTCCTCGTCGCTACCGCTCATGCGACTAAAAAAAAAGTTGCTTCCGCTAAAAGCTAGGGCGTTTACGATCGCACCGCCAACCATCATTGCTACGGTTGCCATTTTTTTTAATTATAGTATTTATTTAATAATCTTATCGGGAATGTAGCCATTAGCCACCAGCATGTCCTTGGTCAGCGTTGAAGCCGCTATTAGACCCGCGAGCTTTGCCGTATCGGCAATGGTCAGCTTGTCTATGAGCGGTGCTTTGCTTCCCATAACCTTTTTCAGTATCATTACGTAACCAATCGTCAACGAAGCCACAACCGCTCCGCCGTACAAGCTGTTTACAATTTCGTTTGTATCGATGCCACTCATACCTTTTTTAAAAAAGAGAAATTTTTAATTACATTTCAAACGGATCTTGCGTTGTCGGCTTTGCTGGCTTTGCCGGCTTTGCCGGCGTTGCTGACGTTTCCGTTTTTACAAGCGTTGTCGGCTTTGCCGTCCTAACCAGAGTGGATACACTTGGCTTTGTAAATGCATTGTAGACTAGATACCCCAACGCGACAAGCGTTAGATATGGAATACAACTCGAAAACGACACGTTAGCAACACTCGATGTGTCCGAGGCTTGTCGCCGTTTCTCGGCAATTGCTTTACCAGCCGCAACTCGCTTGGGATTCTTTTTCGTGACTTGCGTAATCGTTTCGTCCATTTATTAAATGTCGGTAATTTTTTTACTCGGTAGCTACTCTGGCAAGTCAGTAGTCGTAGATTTCTCGGGATCTTGGGTTGCGTTTAAAATCGATCGTTCATATTTCACGTGTCTTGCCGTGTGCATCGCGACCGAAATCGGTGCGAGCCACGCTCCAAATTTATAATAGAGCTCGCACGCAACGGGATTCAATGCTTCCATCAAGAACCGATCGTTTTCGAGATCGTTACCAAGTTGCTCGGTCGAATCGATTGGAAGTATATAACCAATAGTCTTGGCGTACATGCGAATCACGCTACTACCGAGTGATTTTGTCACGTCACTACCCTTTTTAGATTCTAGCATTGCGTACAACTTGGAAATTTCCGACTCGGACATGCACTCGATTTGCTCTACGGTATATTCTTGTCCAAAGTAGTATTGCGCGTTACCTCCGCTCACGACAGACTTTATTCGGTCTTTTAGCTCGTTGGAAATGTCTCGAGCTTGCTCGGGCGTAAGCGATTGCTCGGTTGACGCAGTCGACTCGACCGTCTTTGGGGGTTTTGACTCGCTCTTTTTGGGTTTACGCTTCGTTTTCGCAGGCGCTTGCGCGGGCGGGTCGGTCTGTTCGATCTTGCTCTTGGCTCGCTCTGCTTGCGCTTGCATCTCGTGCGTTATATCGGTCATTTTAATAAATATAAAATATATTTATCCAATGTGAATCCCCCAACGAGTCGGTCTATCGCATTTCAACAACAACTTGCTAAAACACGTCGTGTCAATCTTGTCTTTGATGCGTTTTTTCTCGTCTGCATCTTTTATCACATCATTCTCTCGCAGACAATCGTAAAAACTGTCTCTGTCTTTGCAGAAAAAGAGCGCGACCCATCGAACCTGTTC